GATCGTTGGGACCAATTGAGATAAAGGTAGTTTTATTGATGACTCCTCTACCATGGAAAAACTCAATAAAAATATCAAGAAAGTTCAGGAGAAAACTTTTAAAATGAAAAACAGACACTTTGAAAAGGAAAGATTAAATACCCTTTTTGATCCCTTTATTATAGGAAAAAGCTGCTTTTTAGTTCTTATACTGAAAAAATCTCCATTTTAGTTCTTAAAGTTTAAAATTTGACCCTTTTTTAGTCCTTTCGTTAAGTTTTGGCTAACATGGTAGATTATTTAACAAAAAAACTTATTTTTTTCTTACTTAAATTATGTGGAAAATCCATTTGGCAAAAGTGGATGATATGGCTAAATTTTTTATCTTTAATTATTAATTTGCCCTTATCTTCTTCCCTTCTTATCTTATCCTCTCCTTCCTCTGGGTTTTTTTTTTTTTTCTTCCTTTGCAAATTTGCAGAGGGGTTCTGCGAGAAACCCAATTGTTGGGTCCTACAGCCGAACTTGTCATCGATAACACTTCTGTTTCATTCTCATCCCGAGGCTTTTCTAATGTACTTCAAATCTTGACAAATTCTCTCTTCTTTGTTTTAGTACTGTTTTTAGCTGATTGAACAAGCATCACTTTAGCATTATTTGATCTGAAGAAAGATTGGATTTTGTTTCACCCTATTCAAAATTATTGCTTTTTTTTTTTTTTTTGGATGGCCAAATCTGGGTTCTGTAGAACCCAACCTAGCAACTGGGTTTCACAAGAAGCTAGTGCTGGATTCTCATGAAACCCAGAAGTTAGGTTCCCACGGAACCCAGTTGCCAGCTTTTGAGTTCTGTAGAACCCAAAAGTTGGGTTTTGTGGGAACCCAATTGCTGGGTTCCATGAACCTAGCTTCTGCAAATTTGCAAAGGTTAAAAAAAAAAAAGTCAGAGGAAGGAAAGAGAGGATAAGACAAAAAGGGAAGAAGATAGGGGCAAATTAGTAATTAAAGATAAAAAAATTTAGTCATATCATCCACTTTTATCAAATGGATTTTTCACGTAATTTAAGTAAAAAAACAAATAAGTTTTTTCGTTAATTAACTTGTCATGTCAACTAAAACTTAATGGAGGGACTAAAAATGGGCCAAATTTTAAACTTTAAGGATTAAAAATGAGATTTTTTTAGTACAAGGACTAAAAAAAGGTTTTTTCCTATAGTTGAGGGACCAAAAAAGATATTTAACCAAAAAGAAACCTTCAAAGAGAAGAAAAACTCCCACATTTTATTCATCATTTTGTAACTGTTGTGGGGAGAGAGATTATGGCAACTTAGGGTTAGAGAAGG